GAATCTGAGTTCCGGGGGGCGAGAGAGAACAGTGTCCTTGTGCAGGTGTACTTCTGGGCCCCTGGAAGTAGACGGGTATTTGGCTTTAGGGAAGGATGGACCGGTTCTACATGCGAATCCTTTCTGACGCTTGGATCTACGTTGGCTGCGTGACTGAACGGTGTTGAGATGGTTGGTCTATTATCCGGAAGTGTATGGGGCAATTTAATCTTTTTTTTTTGTTTCGTTGCTCATACAGACACACACACACTTTCACTCACACACACACACGCACACACACGCACACACACACACACACACACTCACGCACACACACACACACACACACGCACACACACTCACACACACACACACACACAAAAACAAAACAAAACAAAAAAACACACAAACACACACACGCGCGCGCGCACACACACAAAATAATAATAATAATAAAATAAAAAAGACACATACACACATACACACACATGCTCACGTGTTGATAAAAGATGTCTTCTCCGGGGAGTGTAATCTTAATCGCAAAGGCAAAATGATACTTGAAAATTCATCAGAGATGGATATATCTATCAGTCGAATCTCTTGGCTAAACATTAGGAATCAACTCAAGGAACATTATTATTTACACTGGATCTGGTGAAAGTACTTAAACTTACTCAAGCTGTCCATGCTTGCTTTGAGAGAAAGGGTAACTGATTAACGTTTGAACTTTATTTAATCCATATTGATAATAGCAATTACATTAAGGGTCCAACGACCTATGACACTCGGACCTATGACACTTAGGAGTCCAGTGACTTATGACACTCGGATGTAACACTTAGGAGTCCAATGACTTATGACACTTTTATTTGACACTTAGGAGTCCAACAACTTATGCCACTTGGATGTGATACTTAGGAGTCCAAACGACATATGACACTCACAGGTAACACTTAGGAGCCCAATGACGTATGACACTTGGACATCGCAAAGGAGGGGGAAACACAGGAGCTTACCCTACGGGATAGTGACACTTGGACTTCTCGATGTCAAAAGCCTCCAGGGAGTCGAAGTGTCTGAAGCAACAGCGAAACTTCAGTCGAAATTCCCTTTTGAACTTCTCCTGCGACAGACAAGACAGGGGTAGGGTTAAGAATTACGAATGGATAGGAAGAGAAAGGGGAGTAAAAAATATATCTTTTTATTATTGTTTGTTCTTTATCATTATTATTACTATCATCATTATCATCATCAAAATCATCATTATTAATATAATTTTTGTAATTGATAAGAAGAGAATGGAGATAATGATAGTGAGCGATATAACACTGATTTTCAATGTGGTAGGATTTATGACGATTATATAACACCGTTGATGAAACTGAATGATCTTGATGACACCTGTGATACTAATGATAATGGTGAGGCTCATGATAGTCATATTGATATTCATAAATATGCGTATGAATATCATTATCATTTACAATTTTAGTAATGTACACAAGCTATCGAAAATAATAATAACAACAACACTGAAACAAACAAACAAAAAAAAGTATTTTCTTTTCGTAAATCAATCGCCTTCTCTTTCATCATTTATTCATACATTGTTCATCCATTCATTCATGTCTTCCTTCCTACCTTCATATATTTTCTCCTTAATGCATTAATTCATATATCTTCTCATTCATTCGTATATCTACTCATACATCCACATATCTTCTCCTTCATTCATATATCTACTCATTCATTCACATATCTTTTCCTTCATTCATATATCTACTCATTCATTCACATATCTTCTCTTTCATTCATATATCTACTCATTCATTCACATATCTACTCATTCATTCACATATCTTCTCTTTCATTCATATATCTACTCATTCATTCATATATCTACTCATTCATTCACTCCTTTACGCATCCATTCATCCATCCCTTCATTCATTCATTCATGTATCAATATCTCTTCCCTATACCCATTCACCCATTCATCCACCTCATAAATATAATAAACATAAGAGAAAAAAACAACTCAAAAACCTCCCAGCTCTGTCCCGGGTGAAGCAGATGTCGAATGCCTCGCCAAAATTAACCACAGAGATGGCTCAGATCCTGCAAACTAATCTGCATATCTGGAGCTCATTGCGTCGAGTGGGTTCGTTGATTCTGCTATGCAAGGGGCACGTGAGCGAAGCGAGTGTCGTTCGTTCAGTTCAGGTTCGGATGTGCTGCGGGTGTTGTTTGTTTGTTGGTGGCGTGACTTCGTTATTGTTTGTTGTTGTTGTTTATTTGTTATTGTTTGTTGTTTGTTATTGTTTGATGTTTCTTATTGTTTGTTGTTGTTTTTGTTATTGTTTACTGTTGTTTGTTATTACTTGTTATTGTTTTCAGTTATTGTTTATTGTCGATGTTTGATTTTATTTTTTTTTTTGGGGGGTATTGCTTGTTATTATTTGTAGTTGTTTGATTTTTGTTATTGTTTGAGTTGTTTGTTATCGTCTGTTATTGTTTGCTGTGTTTGTTGCTGTTGTTTATTTTTATTTTATCTTATTGTTAGTTGTTGCTGTGCACACACACGCACACACACACATACACACACACACACACACACACACACACACACACACACACACACACACACACACACACACACACACACACACAGATATATATGTATATGTATATATATATATATATATATATATATATATATATATATATATATATAAAAACATGTATATATATACAGCTATACATGTAGATATGGATAGATAGATAGATAGACACACACGCTCACACTAGACACGTGAACACCGAAACGCACACACCACCCATAGTCTGCATCTGATTTGATTGATCAAGGGAATTCAAAATGACAAGCAGACACATCGATCACTCACATTATATATGGCGTAGATGAAAGGATTGCAGCAGCTGTTGCTCATTGCAAGCCAGTGGCAACAGAACCAGATGATATTGATGTATCGATACCTGTGAAAAGAAAGAAAGAAAGAAAAAGAAAATGTATGTTGTTTCTGAAGATTCTCGAATTTAGTTAATCTGTCTTATCAACTTTGAAATATTATTGCAACTGACATGGTTTGTGGAAAATAATACACAGAGTTCTCAAGTAATTGGCAATGTAGAGACTTTCAGACATAGAATTCTTGGATAATGTCCTATTTTTAGAAACACACAAGTGGGAGAGGATGTATGTCGACTAACTTTATACCAAACCATTAACCATGCGTATATATTTACCATGGAAAGGGTGGATTTCTTTTTCATATCTATCTATTTATCTGTATCTATTTATAAGCGTGTTGATTTCTCTGTTTTGTCAATCTATTTTGCTCTCAATTAGTCTACCTTTCTTTCTTTGTCTATCTTTATCTATTCGCTTATTTTTCTTTTAAAGTCCTGTCAATCTGTCTATTTCTCACTCTATCCAATCATCCATCTTTCTTCTAAATTTCTATCAATCTACCTATTTCTCTGGCTGTCCAATCCGTCTATTAATCTGTCTCCATCTACCTATCTATATCTTACCATAATCTCACTGCTAGTCTCTCTCTATCTATTCTCTTTCTATCTATCTATCAACAAGTGTATACCACAGCTATTAAACAAAAAATACTGCACATAAATCCTACGTTACTGAACTCGACTTCCCAAGACTTGCTAAAGCCCTTAAGTTTGATTTATGAGACTTAAGCCCCTCACCCCCCCCCTACCCCCCACCTCCCACCCCTACCCCCAGGGACTTACATATTAATGGCCGGGTAGATCTCCTGCAGAACGTGGTAGGTCTGTAGTGGCGCCCAACACACAGCAAACAGAATTACCACCATAGACAACATCTTGATAACCTGTGGATAGGTTCAGCTTACATTATGCTGGTGTTTGGTTGTCCCATTGCTGTTAATTCAATAGTTATGACTATTCCTTGTCGCTGTCCTTATCAGTATCGTTATTACTCTCGTTATCACCCTTATTATCTTTTTTCATTATTACAGTCATCACTATTAAATTTGTTACTATCATAATCATCATCATTATCATCATATTATCATTATTTTTGTCATTGGTAGTATTATTATAACTGTTATTATTATGATAACAATAATGATAGTTGTAATTGATATTATCAATGTTGTTATTATCTTTATCATCATCTTCATTTTCATTATTATTTTTTTTATTGTTATCACTATCATTTCTATCAGTGCTTTTATTATTATAATTACTGACATCATTACATTTATCATTTTTATTATTACTATCATTTTCATTTTTATTACTATCATTATTGTTATTATTGTTATTATTATTATCATTATTATTATTATTATTATTATTATTATTATTATTATCATTATTATTATTATTATCATCATTATTATTATTATCATTATCATTGTTATTATTATTATTATTATTATTATTATTATTATTATTATTATTATTATTATTATTATTATTATTATTATTATTATCATTATTATTATTATCATTATTATTATTATTATTATTATTATTATTATTATTATTATTATTATTATTATTATTATTATCATTATTATTATCATCATTATCATTAAAATTGTTATCAGCATTATCATTAAAATTGTTATCAGCATTATCATTATTACTATCATTATTATCATTATTATTATCATTATCATTATTATTATTATTATTATTATTATTATTATTATTATTATTATTATTATTATTATTATTATTATTATTATTATCATTATTATTGCTATCAATATCATTACTATTATTATTGTTATTATTATTATTATCATTATTATTGCTATCAATATCATTACTATTATTATTATTATTTTTATTACTATTATTATTATTATTATTATTTTCATTATTATTATTATTATAATTATCATTATTATCATTAATATTACTGTTATCATTGTCAATGTTGTTATCACAATCATTATTATTATTATCATTACTATCATCCTCATTATTATTACAGTTATTACTAT